TCAGCAAATATTAATGAATCAAAAGAAAGGTAGTGATCACTTCATCCTTCTATGGCTGGAATTGCATTTGACTGATTTGTCCATGATGAATGCTCTACATTTGGCTGTATGATAGGCCACAACTATCTCATGCCTGCACACTCAACAAGAAATAAGATTGGTTGTCTTAATTGGCTAAGATCCTTGTTTAGGTCTATAAGTCGTTGTTGTTCTGCTAGAATTTGTAGTCTGTTGGAATTTGTGCATCCACTTAACTTTGCAACCAAAGTGGGAACTACCATTTCCAGTCCAAAATGTGGCTCTTGTGATAATAGCATCATGATTGTAATATTTATTTATTTATTTCGTATTCCGTGAATAGCTGTGATGTGAAAGGTACATATGATGTTGCTTTCTACCCTGAGCTCACATAGGATTCTGGCTTTCATGGGAGGATATTGTCTCTGCACATTACATGAAGCCTATGGCTCTCACTGCTTTCTTTGTAACCTCTTTGTGAATAAGTATAATGTGTGATGTACCGGTAACACCAATTGCTGAGCGCAGATGCTGAGCAACTACCCATAAAGACAAGCAGCAAAGTGTAATGATGCCACACCATGTGTTGATGTTTACATAGACATTATAAGGCGTACTGCTTCTGAACATGGAGTTTCTAGAGGGATTCACATGTCAGGATCACTGATTTTGTCAACAAACCCTTGTATGATGTTTGTGTTTAGTTACTTTGGTGATGCAACTTGGGTACTGGAGTGGAGTTTTTTTCACTATGGACCCCATCTATCGACCTCTGAGGAAAGGTTCCTAAATTTGTTCAGTTTCCATCTACTGTATTTTAATTTTGGTTGGCTGCCCTCACAGTAATTGTTCTTTCTTTTAACCTCACGATTATTTTGAAGCCTCTATGAGAACTAGTTAGTTAGAAACTGAATACATAAATATGGAAATGTGTGGTGAATGTGAATGGTTAGGAACTTGGGATGAACAGCATTCAAGAAATGGAAGAAGCTATATTACCTATCTCTGAAATGGAACTAAAATGTCAGCAAAATCAGAGTTTGACATACAGCTCTAATCCTGGTCATTTGCAGCTTAGGGGGAAATCATTAACTTGTTGATGCTTGGACCTGCTGTTCAGATTAGAGTTGCCGCCAGACTGTCACTGTTTGGTAGTAAGGATTAAATAGTATACTTGGAAATTTAGGTTTGTGCAATTAAAGTGGATTAAACTGTTCAGGCACAGCAAATTTACTTTATAAAAAATGGACTTGGGGGAGTGGCTAACTTTTGAGCCTAATGGTGAAACAATCCCTCCAGTTACAATGGGACATCTAAGGCAACATGGCATTTATTTCCACTTTCCCATTTCAAAAACTATATTCCCAGCAAGGTGATATTAGAGACTGTGTGTCCCCAAATGTATGCTAGATAAACTTGACTTACAGGAAGAAGTTGTGGGAGAGTACTCAGAGCTGTCGGATGAGGCCTCTTGACTCCAACATGAAGAGCAGAGGTTGCCACTCACATAAGAGCACAAAACAATCCTCACAATGGAGGAGGCCCAAGAAGCAGACGAATATGTCATTAAAATTAGCAAAGACTTTTCCTTGGACTGGGCAACCACCTTGTTATCACTCAAGTAAAAAAAATAAAAATGGAAACATTGAAGAATCTGATTTTGAAAATTTCCAAAATGGCAAATGAGACTCTTAGTCAGTCAGTTGGAGAGACAAGACCTGCAAATGGCAACTGATGACCTGGCATTAAAATTTATTTGCACCCTTGTAGTCGTCAGACAGTCTGGGATCAGTGTAACAAATGCATACCTTTCCAAGGTTAAATTAAAGGAGCTGTCTGATGAGCAGATAGAACTTCTGAGCTGCCCTGTAACTTGGGAGGAGGTGTTGGAAGTTATCCAAAAGCTCAAATCTGGGAAATCCCCGGAGACTGATGACTTCATGGTGGAATACTACAAAGCTTAAGAAGAAGAACAACGGTTGTCATGCTTGATTAAACTGTTTTATTTTATTTTGGATGGGAGCAAAAATCCACTGATGTGGAGCACCTCCAGACTGTTGTTATTGTTCAAACCCAGAGCTCTGGGCTCCCATCACCCCATCACCCTCATAAATGTGGATGTGAAATTACTTACTGCCATTATGTTAAAGTGCCCTACCAAACTGGCTTCATGCCCCACAGGAACATTTAGTAAGGTAATAAAACTTATCAATGAAGTCAACTCTACCCACTTCTCTGCAGCGTTGGCCTCATAGGGCACCAAATTCTGAATTTGACAGAATTCAGTGGAACTTCCTAAGTCTACTACTTTCTAAAATGTGGTTGTGGTTGAAGTTCCTCCATGTGATACAATTACTCCACTCCACATCCCATGCAGTGATCTCCATTACTTGGACGATGCTTCAGCAATCAGCCTTCTAGAGAGCAGTAAACAAGGCTTGCCATTTGCTCTGAAGGGGGTGATGCTTTGTGGAGCAGAACATAAGGTAAATATGTTTGTGACTAACATGCTATTAATGTTGCAAAAGCCCAGACAAGCCCTGAAACCACTAAAATCACAGCTCAGTATGTTTTATCATATAGCAGGACTGGAATCCAATACGCTAAATGTGTTGTCCTCCCAATTAACATGTCCCAGCCCAAACACAAGTGGCCATTCACTGCATCTGCCTTTACTCCAACCCAATTTTTTGTGTTGTTGTTGTTTTTTAAAAAATACTTAGGTCTAATTCTTATGTCAGACCCCAACCAATTGTCAGGGCAAAATTTTGGCCACCTGCATAAAGAAATCTTGGCAGAATTAAAAAGGTGGAGCCGTCTTAATTTGCCTCAGCTGCATCACAGCAGTCAAAATGTCTATTTTGCCAGATTTCTGGATGTATTCCAAGTGATTCCCATCCCTGCTCCAAATTGCAAGTTTTAAACATTGCCAAAAACTGTTAAACAGTTTGTGTCCCAGGGAAAGAGATGGAGGGTAAGCCTCACTACGCTTTATGGACCCAGCACAGAGGGGGGTGGGCTGGGTGTTCCCCATTGAAGTCCTACTATAATGCATTCCAAGTCAAACACTTAATTCCACTCATCAGAGTCTCTCTGGAGACCCCTTGGGTACATCTTGAGCTCTCTCCCTCCACACCATCCATTAGAGCACTTCCCTTTCTGTGGTTCTCCAGGGGAGCAATGAGGAAAATGAATAACTCTTAAGAACAACTTTCTACCTTGGAGGGAGCGGGGCTCCATGTTGGTCCTGGGTGTATTCTCCCCTTACCCTGTTGTTTGAACATCCCACATTTAGTCATTTAGATAAATATCAGCAATTTTGGGCCTGAGAATCCATTGAGGTATATAGAATTCATGATCTAATACACAGAGGCCAAGCCACCAAGAAGGAGGCTCTTAGAGGACAGCTAGAAGGGCTGCATGGTTCCAGCTGACCCAGGCATGCTAATTTCCAGTCTACCTCTCTTACGCTATTTGACTCCCTATGCACTAGATCAAATTTAAGAAATAGAGACGTGGCCTCAGTGATATAATGTATACTCATAGATCACACCTTAGGCACCTCTGATGGTTTTCACCAGGTCTGGGAGGGAGACCTTGAGATACAAATTGATGTACATAAGTTGAAAGGTGTGTGGTCCTACCCCCCCAGGTGGTTAAGATAACCTTTGTGCACCTGCAGTTGGTGCCCCTCAAGGTCCTTCTCCGATGGTACTGGACCACAGTGTGTCTCTCCAGATTAAACAAAACCCTATCCCCTTTGTGCTAGAAGGACTGCAGGGGACATGCTTCATTTTTTTCATGTGCTGTGGACCTGCAACAAAGCGCAAAAAAGGGGGGGCATGGATTTTTGCCATTGCCTCTTCCGTTATGGCCAAAGTATTGAAACTTGATCTATCCCTAGCCCTGCTATCACTGCAAAATGACAAAAATCCAGAGATCAAGCACAGAGACCTGGTGTTCTTTTTTGTTAACAGTGCAATTGGTTGTTGCCTATCATTGGAAATCTGACTCAGAGCTCCTGATGGAAGCTTGGATAAATAGCATCTCAGACTCTTTTGAATAGCCTCATGCAGCACAGAAGGATGACAAGAGGATTATCTAAGAGGGATAGGTTTGAGGAGATTTTGTTTCCATTACTCTCTGTATCCCCTGGCTTCCCAAGCCCCCGTGTGGAGAGGTTGTGTAAGTAGCCCACTGGCTATGATGACCTGACCTTCGGGTACTTAGGGCAAGATGAATATTTCCATGTTTATGAGCAGATCATTTTTGCTACCACCTTAATTAATGCTTCACTTCTTCCTATGCTGGGCTTCACCCAATATATCCATAAAACAGGAAAAACTTTGTATAGTTTCACGTGTTGTTTGCATTGTTGTGTTAAAATAATAATAAAAATTGCTGGGGGGGGGAATGCAGTGACAGGTAGATTCACTAAAATATGTGGTATAAAGACTGATCAACAGGAAGATGTATAATCATCATTTAAAGAAAACATAATGGATGCTCAGTAAAGAACAGACATTGTGTAACCTCCATGCAAGCTTTGTGCAAGTGGGCAACCAGATTAATTCTTCTTGGTTTGTTGATTTTGGTTTCCCTGCTGTTGCTATGTGCTTCTGTTGTATCATCTTCTTTGGCTATTGTATTGGTTTTATTTCTGAGCCATCATATAGATTTTTCGGATCAATAGGCAGGATATTAACTTTCTTTTTTAAAAAAGAGGAGAGGATATCCACTGAGAATACTGACAGCCTCTGCATATTATTTGTGTCTAGAATTATCTGTTTCAATTACAGTTAACTCTCTGTGTCCAGATGTTGCCTGATGTTTTACCTCCATGGAAAACAGGAGCTCTTCATGTTCATTCCACCCTCTAAGGGCATTTTCACACCTGAGTTTTTAAATTTGCTTGGGCTTCAATAATGTTGTGTGAATTTACAATATCTGTCAGCTAGCACAGCACTGGGGAACCCTGGGTTCTCTAGATGTTGCTAAAGTACAACTCCCAACAGCCCTCACAACCATGGCCAGGGATGATGGGAGTTGTAGCTCAGCAACATCTGGAGACCACAGGTTTACCACACCTGAGCTAGAAACTTCACTTTTCTGTTTCATTTTGCATTATCCACAGTTACCCATGATGCAGTAGGCACCTGAGAGGCCTAAATTCACTTTTTAGATTTAAGTGGGGGACTATTTTTAATTGCCATTTTTTAACAGCTGTAAAAGTTTTTCTCCCCTTCTGAAGTCTCGTTTCTCTGCTAATCCTCCTCTTAGCCCTTCCTCCTGTGAGCCAAAATGGATTCTTTCTCGTGCATTAATTTTGCAACCCTTAGTAGTAATTACCTGTTCTTGTTAATCCCATATTGCCTTATTATACCTGCTGAATGATCCCAGGCCCCCATCATAAACAGGCTGCTTTCTGAATGTCTAGCCTCTTGTGCTCACTGCCCCATGTATGCTTTCAGGATTATAAGAGGGGAATTCAAACTGTGATCAATGGCTTTCTCCTCGCAATGTTTCCAGAGTCACTATATAATTTCATGTTAACTATGATGAGCTTTACATTCAGCTAAAAATTAACCTGTCACTTGACTATTGCTTTCTTTCCCAACTTTCCTTCTCTCGCTTCTTCCTTCCCATAATGCACAACTTCATACAGAGGCCCAGAGTGGCAAATTGGAGAAATGAGTGATGGGAAACAAAACAGTGGTGGTTATGCTCTGCCTCCACAGCTGGGAAGCAATAATGCTTCTGAATACCACTTTCTGGAGTTTTGCTCTTGTGCTTGGGTGCTGTTTTGGGGCTTCCCAGGGCATTTGGTTGGCCACTGTGACAACAGGATGGTGGACTAGATGGGACATTGGCCTCATCCAGCCACTCTTCTTACATTCTTCACATATCTTCTCTTGGGTTTTGGTAACAGGCGTGGCATGTTGTTTAGCAAAGGAACCAAGATAATGGAATTGTCTCCAAAGCCAACTCAGTTATGTTTGATCAGCATATGCTGGAGCCTAGTTTCAGCCTCCTCTTGATTTACCTTGAGTTTGCGGGAAAGGTGTAGCCGTTGCTAGACCTGTGGAGTCACAACCTGGAGTCAGAAGTCAGAGTCAGTCGCAGGAGATGCTGCTGTTGTCCATAATAAATCTGAGCTTGACATGGTTGCTTTTCTAGCCCTTCCAGTTTAAGGGGAGCCAGTGACTAGACTGGATGAGTTGAATTGCACCAAAGTGTGGTAACGTTTTGCCCGTCCATGAAACACTCTGACCTGTAGCCTTTGGTTTCTCACTCCAAAAGGACAGAGGCAGACAGATCGTGGTTCTACGTCAACATAAGTTTCTGCTTTTCCACAGTCTAGCTGTGCACATTCAGGGTATTTTTCTGTCAGCAATGGCACATATGGGGATGCCCAAGCCACAGCCATTCCATCAGGCTGCAGCAGAGGAAGAGATGGGCCTGCAGACCCCAATGCACTGGCCCTACTGAGAGATCAGCTCTTTTTGGCTCCTCTTTCTGAGCAGTTTCCATCCTAGCTTGTCACTTCCAGTGCCCGAGTTTGCATTTTTCCTTCTCCGACCTCATCCCTTCATCCTTTTGTATTGTGTCTTTTAGATTGTAAGCCTGAGGGCAGGAACTATCTTGGTTTAGAAGAAGAAGAAAGATTGAATTGAAAGGTTATGCTACTACTGTATTAACAAATCTGCTAATGGTTTGTGTGTGTGTGTGTGTGTGTGTGTGTGTGTGTGTGTTGTGGTTTCCCTCAGGAGCAGAAAAATGGTGATGCTCACGACACCTGTATGTAACATCTGTTAATTTGGGAAATCTCTTTGTAGGAATCTGTTGAGTACAAATATTACATAACATTGTGCTGAGGTTGTTTATCTGTTTATTTATTTCCATTTCTGAATTGCATCCTATGAAACATCTCAAAACAATTAAACAATAAAAAATCCTTTCCTTGTAAGTTGCCAAGTTCCACTAAGGAATTGAGGAGTAATTGCCTGCCTGTTGTTTTATGGGTTGCTGTATTTTAAAAAGAGTTTGTGGATTCTGCTTTGAACTTCAGGAGAGAACTGCAGAAGGAATATGTAGTGGATTAACCTCCCGCAGGTTTGTGCCAAATCCCCTTAAGCCTAGTTACATTTGCTGATGTCCTGAAAAATAAACTGCCTGCTGCAAAGAGCAGTCCAATAAATTTTAAGCAGAGCATTTCTAGAATGAGTGGGTGGGTATGTGAATATATTTGTGACCACATGCATGCCCAACACATTCTTCTGTTGACTGTACAAGTTCAAACATCGGGTCTGTTCAGACTTCATCATCTTGAGAATCTTATCTTTCATTGGTTCATTGGTATGCAGATTATAAATCCTAATTGTTGCAAAGGTAACCTTGACCTTTCCCCCCTCCCCCTCCCCCTTTCCTCTCCACCCCCCTTGTAAATCAATTATTTCATTTTATTGCAATTTTGTGTATTATGCTTCCTCTTTTTGGCTGAAGATTGTGTACGTGAGCTTTCCCTATTTTATCATCACAACAGCTCCGGAAAGTAGGTTATTCTGTACTATGAGCTACATACATTGAAGGTATAAATTAACAAAACCTGGGCTAGTCTGATAGTAACTGGCCCAAAGACACACACAAACACACACAAAAAGAGAACTTCATGCAGGAGTTTGAACTCAGATCTCAACAACCTCAGAGTACAAGCATTTTATCAACTAATCTCCAACAGCAGTGGCAGACTTTGGGCTCTCAAATTTCAGCGGTGCCCTGTGCAATGCTTAAATTTGGTGCCCTTCCCCATCCCACAGCACTGCTGTGGTGCCCCCTGCAGCGCAGTGCCCAGTGCTGCCACAGCAGTCATGCCACCCTAAAACTGCCTCTGCCAACAGGATAAAACAGCTGAATCTTGCCTAGGAACTACCTTGGCCTGCACATGGAGGTGGGTTTTAGAATGGGTTTTAGAATCAGAAAAGGGTTAGAGCCCAGGTGGCTTAGCTTTGACCCTTCAAATGTTGCTGGACTATAACTCCCACCACTCATGATTATTAGCCATACTGGCTGGAGCTGATGGGCACTGGAGTCCAACAACTTCTTTAGGGCCACAGCTTAATCACCACTAGGTAAGAGGTTTTGGGTTATCAAGTTGGGATTGGAGGGGAGAAGGTGCAGATAAGTGTGCTCTACTCAGCGTGTGTTCTTCAGTGTTACCTCATGGAAGGATGGTCTTGGGGATATGTATTGATTGTTACCTTTCATCTGTTGGTCCCTTCATAAGACTGCCATCCATCAGAATTGCACCACAGAGTCACTGCAGATATCATGTTTGTGCCAAAGCTGCTTTGTGAATTTACTTGAATTTGGGGCCGTGATGCACATCTGCCCTGAGCTTTGGCTTTATGCTAACCCAGGGATGGATCAACCCTTCTGGGGATGCATGTCAAAGTGAGTGTGGCCAAAATGCAAAAGCAGGCTAACCTATGCTGACCTAAACTCCCCACAGTGAAGTGGTTCACATGGATCTGTTTTATGATTCAGTACACTTCCGCTCAGGGTGAGCTGGGTTTGCTTCTTTCCAAACTTCATGCGTAGTGGAACACATACTCACAGTTAAACAATTGGGTCTTAATTCTGGATAGTCCTTGGGTTATCCTCTTGTTTGCCTGGATCAAAAATTGAAGGTGGCTGTGCAGAAACCTCTGGCTTTCGTCTCTCTATATAATGAAAATGTATGCATGTCATCATGCAGCCCCCAATGGAGGATTTGTAGTGCCACATCACAATCCTTGATTTGCACAAAGTATATTTCCATGGATATTTATTTATGTGGTTGTGTATTAAAGCTGTTTTGTGATGGTGGTGTTCACAAAACAATTGGCTCTAAGTGGCTGAACTTCTCTAATGTCATGGCAGGGGAACGAGGCAGACAGTGTGAGAGTCTCTAGCAATGAAGTTGCCTTTGATTCTAGAAATGATCAGGCCAAGCAAGAGTATGAAGGGGGAGGAAACTGCAGAATGTGTAGAGAGGAGAGATGCATGTGCCAAGAACTGAAGGCATTTAAAGCCAGATGTTGACTGTAGGTAGTTCATTGCATTTATTTTACAGCCATGTGATCAATTCTCTGTTTCTAAATCAAACACTAGTTTCATCCTTGTACTACTTTCCTGTCAACTGCTATTATTTCCTCAATAGAGGTTAAGTGTCACTCATTCTGATTGTGGACTAGTATATTTTCTTGTAGTGCAGGGGTGGGATATCTCAGGGCTGAGTGCCAATTCAGCTTTCCAGGTCTCTCTAACTGGCCCTTGTGACTCTCCCCAGGTCACATCCCTCACCAGTACTATTTCATACCCTGCATGAGTGTTTTTTGCCTGGCTAGAATGTGTCCTTAAGCTCTAATAATGCCTGTTGCTTGCCTGGATAGAGGACGCAGAGGGGTGCATATAGAAGCCAGCCTACTGTACAAAGGGGAAAAAAAATCTCTGCCCCCTTCTACTTCTGGTTTTTCCCACCACTGGCATGTGGGCTCCAGAAGGCGGTCCGGAATGGAATGCAGCCCTTGGTATGAAAAAAGATTTTCCAACCCTGTTGTAATGAAAGAGGCAGGCTGAATAATTCCTTGACCTTACTATCATTTGGGTAAATGTAAGAGCTGAACCGTTTAAAGTTTAGGTGGAAAGTTTAGGTGTCATTTTGACTCCTTGCCTCCCCTTCCACAAAAGTCCTTTTCTAGCATTGTGTTTCCATGATGTGTCATTCAGCCATCATACCGGAAAAATTAAACCTTGGCCTAGCATTGGCAACTGGCACCTTTGAACAACTGCTTCTGTGCAATACTCACCAGCACTGATGACTGCCCTGCTCCCCTCCAGTAGGCAGTCAAGTGTGAAAGCTGCCATTTTTAAGTTCTCACAATTCCCCCAGATGTACTCTTTCTCCACAAATTTAAAATAGCAGCCACTGGGCTCCATCTCAAACCTGAATGCAGTTCTGAAAAATCCCTTTCTTAATATATAATAAAATTGTAATGGTGTTGTCATGCAGCTGTTGCTCATGCAGAAA